TTTGTAAAGAAGAATACAAACACTGCTATTTTTTGAACAGTCTAATATTCACTTTTCTTCAATTTTTTTAGAGGAACAACACAAATTTGATATATTTTTCTTCATGTTTTGATTTGGAATAGAATGTGTAGTGTTCCCAATGCATTTGTGTGTATGGAAATAAAAGCTATTAGAAGGATTTTGAGCTTTATTCACTTTTTTCAACACACTGCTATTATTTTGAACACAACTGTATGGTTCAGTGGTCAGTAGTTTGTGCCATACAATCTGGGGGTCAATAATTTGTAATGTGCAGTTCAGTGGATGGTAAATTGTAATGCAGACTTCAGGGATCAGTAATTTGTGATGTACAGTTCAGGGGTCAATATTTGTGAAGCACATTTCAGTGGTAAGCAGTGACTAATGCAGAAATACCCTTATGCAGATGGCTAGCCCCACTGTTCTCAGGAATACTGTATTTGTGTGGCTCCACACAAATAATGCTTTATCTACCTGCCTGCCTGCCTTAAAAGTTGGAGAAATGTTTAAGCATTTTGCCATGGCACCCCTGTTGAGGAAGGCTGGCCTAGAGAAGAACAGAGACCCAGTGATAACATCGCTGGGTCTATAATATGGTATGTAATAAAAACAGAAAACATTTATTTAAAAATTCAGTAGCATGTTGATGCGGGGGGAAAAAAGGGACTAAGGAAGGCAAAATATCAGCATATAAAATTTCACCTTTAAATAGACATGTAAAGAAAACTAAAACTCACCAATGCAGCTCTGTATACAGGGGAATTACTGGATATTATCAATAGTGGTGCATACCATGCAAGACTAGAATGTCTAGGGAAAAATGATTATACAAAATTCTGTTAAACTCTTTTTAATATGTCAGTGCTGTAGTCACATTTTTAGCTCTTTTGCACCATCTAATGGACTTTTTTTTCCTGTGACAATCGTCTCTTTTTCTTCTGATATTAAGGTATGATTTATCAGCTCAGCTAGGTGTTCGTAAGATTAAATAAATATGTACACCCTTATTAAGGCCATGATGAAATGTACAACACCCACAGTATTCATATATATCGCATCGCTGATGTCTTTTGCAGTACTTATATGTATAAGTGAAGCCTGCACAGTGGACTGTGGTTAATGTGAAAATAAATACACTGGCTGCTGCTAGCAATACCACAAATGTGTGTAAACAAGCAAACTGTGTGAAATCAAACATAAATAAATGCTCTAGTGGATAAATGTACCACACTACAATCGTATTAGCGGCCGACAATAAACTTGTGCCTCTATAACTACTATGCTTATAATAAACCCCTCCTCATCAGGATCTTAGTGCATCCCTATATTAGGGGAAATGTATATAATACTCTACGTGGTGGATTGGGACTTTATAAGATTTGCATATAAGTGCACTGTGTACATGTATATTTATGGTTTGAATTTTTATTTCAACTTGTTTGTATTGAACATGTTTCAGTATAACTAAGAGAGCCAGTATACATATCAATATCAATCCAAGACATACAGTAAGGAACAGAAGTATTTGAACACCCTGTGATTTTGCACGTTTCTCCCACTTAGAAATCATGGAGGGGTCTGAAATTCACATTGTAGGTGCATTCCCACTCTGAGAGACAGAATTTAAAAAAAAAAAATCAGGAAATCACATTGTATGATTTTTAAAGAATTTGTCTTTCACTGCTGAACATAAGTATTTGAACACCTGAGAAAATCAGTGTTAATATTTGGTACAGAAGCCTTTGTTTGCAATTACAGAGGTCAAACGTTTCCTGTAGTTCTTGACCAGGTTTGCACACACTGCAACAGGGATTTTGGCCCATTCCTCCACACAGATCTCCTCTAGATCTGTCAGGTTTCGGGGCTGTCGCTGAGCAACACGGAGTTTCAGCTCCCTCCAAAGATGTTCTTTTGGATTTAGGTCTGGAGACTGGCTAGGCCACTCCAGAACCTTGATATGCTTCTTACGGAGCCACTCCTTGGTTATCCTGGCTGTGTGCTTCGGGTCGTTGTCATGTTGAAAGACCCAGCCACGACCCATCTTCAATGCTCTGACTGAGGGAAGGAGGTTGTTGCTCAAAATCTCACAATAAATGGCCCCATTCATCCTCTCCTTAATACAGTGCAGTCGTCCTGTCCCCTTCTCAGAAAAGCACCCCGAAAGCACAATGTTACCACCCCCATGCTTCACAGTAGGGATGGTGTTCTTGGGATGCAACTCATCCTTCTTTTTTCTCCAAACACAACGAGTGAAGTTTAGACCAAAAAGTTCTACTTTGGTCTCATCTGACCACATGACTTTCTCCCATGCCTCCTCTGGATCATCCAGATGGTCATTGGCAAACTTCAGACGGGCCTGGACATGTGATGACTTGAGCAGGGAAACCTTCCATGCAATGCATGATTTGAAACCATGATGGCGTAGTGTTCTACCGACAGTGACCTTTGAAACTGTGGTCCCAGCTCTCTTCATGTCATTGACCAGCTCCTCCCTTGTAGTTCTGGGCTGATTCTTCACCTTTCTTATCATCAGTGATACCCCACGAGGTGAGATCTTGCATGGAGCCCCAGTCCGAGGGATACTGACAGTCGTCTTTAGCCTCTTCCATTTTCTAACAATTGCTCCAGCAGTTGATCTATTTTCACCAAGCTGCTTGGCAATTGCCCCGTAGCCCTTTCCAGCCTTGTGGAGGTGCACAATCTTGTCTCTGGTGTCTTTTGACAGCTCTTTGGTCTTGCCCATGGTAGTAGTTGGCGTCTGACTGACTGTGGGGTGGACAGGTGTCTTTAAAGAGCTCAGACAGATGCTACTAAGTTAGATTAATGAGTGGAGTAGAGATGGACTTTTTAAAGGCACAGTAACAGGTCTTTGAGAGCCAGAATTCTTGCTGTTTCTTAGGTGTTCAAATACTTATGTTCAGCAGTGCAAGACAAATTCTTTAAAAATCATACAATGTGATTTCCTGAATTGTTTTTTAAATTCTGTCTCTCAGAGTGGGAATGCACCTACAATGTGAATTTCAGACCCCTCCATGATTTCTAAGTGGGAGAACTTGCAAAATCTCAGGGTGTTCAACTACTTCTGTTCCTCACTGCATTACAGTAATTTAAGGCAGTAGAAAATACAGTAGACAGTAAATAGTACAGATTGGAGTGGCAAACCAAAACTAGGCTACACTATAACAGATCAGGTCAAAATCATCCAATGGAAATTCTAAATTGCCTCCAAGGATTCCATTTGTAGTAAAAGTAATTAGCTGAACCATCTTTATATGCCATTATTCTTTCAAATTCAAATATTGTATCCAGGTGTTGTTTAACCTCTAATATACTAGGAACAAAGCAGATTTCCATTTTCTAACAATTAGCAGATGTGCCGCAGATAAAATGTTTAATGATATGGGCTTAACTGAAGGGGGGGTATTTATCCATATTTACGCTCAGAAGAGCCTGTTCTACGTCCACATTGTTAAGAACACCCGTTACGTCTTTAAACAATCTGACCACTTGATTCCAGTAACCTCTGATGTGGGGGCAGGTCCAAAGCATGTCCAAAGCATGTGTATCAATGTCCCAACCTGTTCACAACCTCTCCAGCAAGTATTTTAACCTTCTTTAGAGATTTTAGCCAATGTGTAAGGGGTCAAGTACCATCTAAGATGGATTTTTTGTGCCAGTTCCCAATAGGCTGAACACTGAGAGACTGAATAGTTGCATTTAGTTGCTTGTTGCCATTGCGCCTCTGTAATAGATATAATCAGCTCCTTTTCCCATTTCAGCAAAGGGGAGGATTTATTGAATACCATTTTAGATTGAAGTATATTATAAAAAAGGGATATTCCCTTTTTCACTGAAGGGGACTGAAGTCCAAGAGGGCCAGGCTGAAATTTGTGAGAATTGGATTAAAAATTTTATCTCGCTTAAGACATGCTATGACTTTGGCATATAGTAAAAAATCACATTCGGAAACTGAGAATTTTGTGGTGAGTTCATCAAATGAAATCACTTTCTCTTTGTTGAAAAGGTCCGAGATTTGTGGGATCCCATTAGCCTCCCAATGAGTAAGCAAAACCTCCTGAAGGAGGAGTTGAAGAGAATGCAGCGGTATGGGAATCTTTAAAGTATGTAAGGATTGATTACCTTCCATAAGAAGATAAGTCCACGCTTCACATGCTGCTGTGGGATGGGATTTGGTGTTTGTAATCGGACGTGGTTTGATTTTTTTAATGCAATTGATCCACATTGGGAGCATTGCTGTTCATGATTGGCACTAATCATACAAAATCTCACCAATTTAACAATAGAGTATTATATATATATTTCCCCTAATATAGGGATGCACTAAGATCACATTTTTATTGCATACCAATACAAACAAAAGAAATAAACATGAGAATGACTAAACATTTGCAATGTAACAATTTTCTTGGCGAAGTGGTACATTATCTGACAGAAACTCAAGGGTGCCAATATTTTTGGCTGTAACAGTTTGAACACCTTCAAATTCCTTTTGTTTTTTAAAGTGGAACTAAACCCTTCTGTTTTTTTACAGACAAGCACGCTGCCATCTTAGCCTCTATTTGATTTGCAGTTGCCACATGTGATCAGTTATGGTACTGGTCATTTGATGGCTTGACAGTTCAGCTGAAAACACAAACAGCAGTGACAGTTATCATTCACGACATGCCTTGTATGTTTTAGGAAACTGTTCGATGGGTTTAGTTCTGCTTTAGGTATTTAGACATGTTTATTATCAAGAATGTAATATTTGCTATTCCATAACTAAGAAGTAATGTTTGTCTACATACCATTCTATACTTTTAACAGAAGGTCTGGACCAATTTCAGTGATGTTACTGAATTTTCCCCACATCGTGTCTTTGGCATTAACATTTTTCTTATGCTGCTCTTGCAGGTTGGCCCTCATTTTATGATGTTGTCAATCCAGAAGCAATATCATATGCTGATGACTTTTCATATGGGATGCACAGAGTAGAAGCAAGTTGCAGTCAGGTTAGTACATCAGAACTTTGAAAGTGTTAATGTAGCAAGGTGCAAGTCTTTATTTCTTCTGTATACCTGGAAAAAAGAGCGATTAAAAAAAAAAACTACTATACTACTAAAAATGACTGTATGAAGCACAAAACACAATCATTTCCTAATTTGCGTCAGTGAATTAGGAACAAGACAAGCCATGAGGATTTCTGAAAGATTTCTGATGACAGGCACCCAAAAAATAACCACAAATGGAATCTGGTTTACTATGACTGTAGATGGAATCTGGTTGCTTGTTACTATGGTTCATTTATCTTTTTTGAATATATTAGGCTTTAAAGGCATAGTTCACCTTCACCAAAAAATAAAAATGCCTATGCACTTTTTTTCCCTTTTCTGTACCTTTTTTTTTTACTCCTCAATACTTCCTTCTCAGGTTCTTTTCACTTCCCATTCCTGTAACAGTTGCAAGACAAGACGCTGCCCAGTACAGTGACCACCGATCTTCTAAATTAGAACACATGAATATAATCCCAGTATACTTCACACTCCAAGACCCACAAGAGGATTTTAGCGACATATCCATCATAGGCCATGCCATGTGCAACACAGGAAAGACATGGGGAGATTAGAGAACTCAATGCATGGCTAAAGACCTGGTGTAAGAGGGAAGGATTTGGGTTTCTAGAGCACTGGGCTGACTTTTCATTGGGGTGCAACCTATATGCTAGAGATGGTTTGCACCTAAATGGAAGGGGGCCTGCTGTGCTGGGGGAGAGGTTTATGTTATGGCTGAAGGAGTATTTAAACTATGGTCGAGGAGGGAGAATTAGATGATAATGGTGCAGACAGATCAGACAGGGGTTCAATCCTTATTGGTGGGTGGAATGGAAAGTTGGAGGGAGGGCTATAGCAGGTGATTAGAAGGTTTCCATGTTACAAACAACCATTGGAATTGGTACCATTTGTACGAAAATAAAAAATATGCAAAATACGTGCGCAGAAGGTGTCAATGAATTAAAGTGTTTGTTCACCAGTGCCAGAAATCTGCCCAGCAAAATAGTTGAGTTGGAAGCTTTGGTGCATGAAGAGAACTATGATTTAATTGGTATTGCTTAATCTTGGCTTCATTCTTCACATGACTGGGCCATTAATATTTCTGGCTATATTGTCTTTCGGGGAGACAAGGTAAATAGGAAAGGTGATGGTGTCTGTATCTATGTGAGAAGTGATCTCAAAGCTAGTGTGAAAGAGGACCTAGCTGATGGAGAGTGTGATGAGGCTGAAGCATTATGGGTGGAACTGCAAATGGGGGTGCATACTACAAAGGTAATCCTTGGAGTGTGTTATAGGCCACCCAGTCTTAATGAGGAGGTGGAGACTCAGCTCCTTGCACAAATTGAAAGGGCTGCAAAGGCTGGGACAGTGATAATAATGGGAGATTTTAACTGCCCAGAAGTTGACTGGAGTAGTGGCCCTGCAAGAACAGTTAAAGGGCAAAAATTTATAAACCTTCTACAGGACAATTTTATGGTACAGTTCATAGAGGCCCCAACGAGGAATGATGCTCTGCTGGATCTGGTAATCTCAAATCATGCAGAGCTTATTACTAATGTCCTTATAAAAGAACATCTTGGTAGCAGTGACCATAACATAATTGAATTTATTGTTAGCTGTAAACAACAAGCACATATAAAATAATAAAAAGCACTCAACTTAAGAGAGCTAATTTTCCAAGGCTGGGAAACTGCTCTCCAAAACTTTAACTGGTGAGGGAATATTGGCATCAATGAACACAACACAGAAATGGGAGTTTTTCAAAAAGACTGTATGTGAACACACTGCAAAATATATTCCCATGGGCAACAAGTTTAAAAGGCTTAAAATAAAACCTACGACAAAAGGCTTACGACAAAAGTTAAAAAAGCTATAAACAATAAGAAAACAGCTTTTATGAAATATAAAAATGAAGGAACACTATCACTGTTTAAACATTACAAAGAATATAACAGAATATGTAAAAAGGAAATCATGGCAGGATCAACCCCCAAAAATTCTTCAAAAATATTATTAGTAAAAAGGTTGTAGGCCCTTTACAAAATAATCTAGAGTGGGTGACTGGGGACAAAGAGAAGGCAAATTTATTAAATACCTTCTTCAGCTCTGTGTATACAAAGGAGCACGGGGGGCTCTTGTCCATAATGGGCATGGTATTGACACAGCTCCAGATGATCCACATTGGCTCACAATTGATATGATCCATAAATATTTAGACAGAATAAAGGTGAATAAAGCACCTGGACTGGATGGGATAGAGAATCTGTCATTTCAAAGCCATTGTTTCTAATTTTCAGGGACTCTTTAATGACTGGCATAGTACCACTGGATTGGCGTAAGGCCAATGTGGTGCCTATATTTAAAAAGAGATAATCTTTACCAGATAATTACAGACCTGTTAGTTTAACTTCTATAGTTGGTAAGATACTGGACATTTTAATAAGAGGCCACATAGATGAGCTCTTGCTTGTGAAAAAAAAATGCAAGCAACAGACAGCATGGATTCATGAAAGACAGAAGTTGTCAAACAAATCTGATTTCTTTTTATGAGGAGGTGAGCAAAACCTGGGACAGAGGGGTGGTGGTGGATGTGGTATACTTGGAGTTTTCAAAAGCATTTGACACGGTTCCCCACACACGACTAATGTGTAAGGTAAAGTCTACGGGCTTAGAAAAATCAGTATGTAAATGAATAGAAAACGTATTCAGAGAGTAGCGGTTAATGATTCTTACTCTGAATGGTCTAGGGTTGTCAGTGGTGTACCCCAAGGTTCAGTGTTGGGACCCTTACTTTTTAATATATTTATAAACGATACATGGTCTGGGATTAAAAATATTGTTTCAGTCTTTGCAGATGACACCAAGCTGTGCAGTGGAATAATGTCCTTACAGGATGTCTCCAACTTATAAGCCGACCTCAATGCACTGTTTAATTGGGCAACTATGTGGCAAATGAGGTTTAATGTTGATAAATGTAAGGTTATGCACTTGGGGGCGAAGAATATGCATCATACATACTAGGGGGGGGGGTACAACTGGGGAAATCAATGGTGATGAAGGATATGGGAGTTCTGGTAGATCACAAGCTTAATAATGGCATGCAATGACAAGCTGTGGTTTCTAAAGTGAGCAAAATCCTCTCTTGTATTAAAAGAGGTATAGACTCCAGAGAGATATCATTTTACCCCGGTACACAAATCATTAGTAACACCTCATCTGGAATATGCAGTTCAGTTTTGGGCACCAATTCACAAAAAGAACATTGGGGAACTGGAGAAAGTACAGAGAAGGGCAACCAAAGAGGCATGGAGGAGATCAGCTATGAGGAAAGATTAGAGGAACTGAATTTATTCTCTCTTGAGAAGAGGAGATTAAGGGGGGATATGATCAACATGTATAAATACATCAGTGGTTCATATAGTGAACTCAGTGTAGAGTTATTCACCTTGAGGTCCTCACAGAGGACAAGGGGGCACTCTTTGCGTCTGGAGGAAAAGAGATTTAACCTCCTTATACGGAAAGGTTTCTTCAGTCAGAGCTGTGAAAATGTGGAATAGACTCCCTCAAGAGTTGGTTCTGGCCAGCTCAGTGGATTGCTTTAAAAAAGGCCTGGATTTTTTCCTAGATACACATAATATAACTGGTTACTAACATTTACTGAAGGCACCCCTGAAGAATCCTGAAGGCACCCTGGTTGAAAAAGGATGGTGTAAGTAATTTACCTATGTCATAAAGTCTGACTAGAAAACTCTCAAGATGTTGCTAAGAGATGCCTAGCTGTTACTGTTTCACCAAATCCTGTAAAATCTGTCCATTTCTGCAATGATGTTAAAAAATATATGTGCGTAAGTGGTAAACAAATGCTGTGAAGGAGAATGCAGGCTTTACTCTATTTATTTAGTGTTGTTCTATTGTTCCATGTGCCTCTACTGTATATCAGTTTGTTGTAATAGATGTTCAGTAAACATACACTGTGGGGACAGTTAGTTTTCAAAGACTATTAGGAAGACATTATAAATTCTATTGCAAAACAACCCTTCTCCCATAAACTGAACTGGCTCAATGGTCATTCAGCATCTCAGAACATCACCATGACACAAGTTTTTCTAAAATCTTAAAGCAAAACTGTTGCGGTGTTAAACATGCCATATAAAGTACCACTGGCATTCTTTTGCAGGCACCCTTAGGGGTCTTTTGGTAGTTTCATATTCTTTGTAGTCTCTGGAGCCTGATACCTGGGGCGCTCTGTTATGCAAATATCAACTGTTAGGAATTAGGGCTTCTTCAATCCTGCTATTGGTCAAGTGCCTTTCACAATGATGAGTCACTAATATTTGCATGACAGCAGGTTTTTGGGGCTCTAGAAGAATTGTAAAGAAACCTGCAGTGACCTTAAATTGTATAGAAGCAACTTTAAATAGTAACTTTAACACCATTACAATTTAACCCCTTCTCAGACTTAGCTGGTATGAGTGCACAGGCTTCATATTATTCTTACAAAATTCAGTAATCCTTTAATAAATGTTAAAACATTACAGGTGTTTTTTGCACTATAATCTGTGTTATCATGCAATGTAGTATATTTAACAACATTCAGAACCTGAAAAACATATTTTATTTTGTTCTTTTGTAGTGCGGTTCCCATCTTGGTCATGTATTCGAGGATGGTCCCCGTCCAACTGGGAAAAGATACTGTATAAATTCATCATCACTGAACTTCATAGCAGAGGCATCCGGTGGTGCTGAAGGAACTGGTGCTTCAGCAGCATCTCCAAAGGCTGAACTGTAAAAGCAGGCACAATGACAACAAAGCTTTCTGATCATCAGATCTGTAGTTTAACAGCTGCTCTGCAAATTGGACATACAAATCCTTAATTTAGGAAGGAATCATTACATTAGAAAAAATACTCTTTACTTTACAGTACATTTATTTTTTTGCTTGCAAACATTAACTCTTTTCACATTTCTTGTTACCAAGACTATCACAGACTGTAAAAATATATGTTTATCATAGTTAAAGTTAGTTATTTAATATGGTATTACAAGATTTGTATTCCTTTACAGCAGGCCAAAGTTCAGATGTTATAAAGTAAAATTTTTTCTTTTTTTTTTTTTCCATCCGACATTTTTTTTCTTTATCTGAATAATGCTGCTAATGGCATGTTCCATTACATCTTGGTGCCCCACTAGTACAGAGATAACAAATGAATCTCCTTAAAAGATGACCAACAGTTGAAGTGGGGAACTAGGCTTTGTTATAATAAAATACAAGTTTACCATTGTGACATTTTCAGTATAAAGCATATGTATTACTATGCTTTGTTTCTTCTCTCCATTATATATAATTACCATCTCACATTTATTCACTTAGGAGGGTCATTCCTGCCCTGTCCACTTTTTCATATTTAGCTCTGAGTGCTGCTGCTGTCTGTATGGAAGCAGTGGTATCTCTGCAGTGGTCTTACACCGCTGTTCCCTGCTGAGTCACACCTATAGTTCTGCAATCAGCAGCATTCATTATCTTTATTAATTACAGAGGTCTAGCTGTTGCCAGAGGTGTAACTACAGTTCATAGAGCCCCATAGCAAAAGTTTGATGGGGTCTCCCCAGGGGCGGACTGACTACTCATGGGGCCCCCGGGCAATAGGGGATCATGGGGCCCCTGTGTCCTTGCCCAAACTCAAAAAAGCCTATGAAAAAGGTACTAGGGGCATCTCAGGGGGCCCCCTACTGACCCCGGGCCCTCGGGCAGTGCCCGAGTTTCCAAATGGTCAGTCCGCCCCTGGGTCCCCCAATGATCTCCCTGCTGTCCTTGATCTTAACTTAAAAAATGTCTAAATCAAGGTCAAGCAGCAGGAGAGCTGTCAGCATAGCTAATAGACTGCTAGAGACCAGAGCTGTGGATTTAACTTTCAGCCTTTATTTTCCGGCTACCGCTCTGTCCTTGGTAGATCCTAAGTGTTCCCAGTATCTCAGATCTCAGGGCCTCAGTGTAAATTGTAAGCCATCCCAGACCCTCCACTGCCACAGCAAGTAAGTGCTGAAAGAGGTTGTTTAGTAGTAACTAATAAACAAAACAAAAAAAAAACCCAGGAGTGTAGTAGAAAAAAAATTGCATTATGACAAAAATAATATGATTGCAATAATAATTATAATAATATTAACCACTTGACCTCCAGAGGATGTACCCCCTTCCTGAGCCATTTTTTGGGATACGGCTCTGCGTTACTTTAACTGACAATTGCACAGTCATGCAACGCTTCACCCAAATGAAATTTGTGTCCTTTTTTTCCCACAAATAGAGCTTTCTTTCAGTGGTTTTTGATCGCCTGTGCATTTTTAATTTTTTGTGCTATAAACAAAAAAACAGGAAAATTTTGAGAAAAAAAACCAAAATTTTTGACTTTTTGCTATTAAACATGTCCAGTAAAAAAATAAAAAAAAACAAATTTCATCATAAATTAAGGCAAAAATGTATTCTGCTACATGTCTTTGCTAAAGAAAATCCCAATACGTGTAAATTAATTGGTTTAAATGAAACTTATAGTGTTTACAAATGGCGGTATATATACTGGAATTTAATTTTGTTTTAAACTAGTAATGGCGGCGATCAGAGACTTATAGCAGGACTGCGAGACTGCAGTGGGCATTCTGACACTGGGGCGAACTGACTTGGTGTCACTGACATCCCTAATTGAGCGGTTCTCCCTGGCAATTAATTATTGTTTTAAAACTAGTCATTGGCTGGCGATCAGAGTGACTGCGAGACTGCAGTGACACCAATACAGTGATCAGTGCTAACACTAGCACTGACACTGTACTAATGACACTGGGCAGGAGGGGCTAACATGTGGGTCGATCAAAGGGTTAACAGTGGGCTGTTTCTCAGTGTGCTGTGTAAGTGTTTACACTGTAAGCACACTGTTTGTATGGCTCTGCTATGCAGAGCCATACAAAGCAGTGTGCAGGAGCTGACAGGGGAGAGATCTGTGTTGTTTATAGACAGGTCTCTCCCCTGTCCGAGATACTCAGTAATCACCAGGTGCTGGCGAGGAATCACCTGCCAGGACCTGGTGAATGACTACCAAGGCCACGAATGGCGTGCTCCCTACCTGGAACTGCAAAATAAAGTATATATACGTGAGTCTGCATACCCGTGCCACCCTGTAGCAGTATTTCTGCTATAGGGTGGCACAAACATGCTTAATAATAATATGATATTAATATTAATAGTAATTGTTAGTATTCACGCATAAAATTAATCCATCACCCCAATGCAAACTTTAGACTGTGGATCTAGCTTTTCAGAACTACAAATAGCTGTCACTTTTTACCTGAGGTGATACTCTGGGAATTTTACAGCTTGAGGAAGACTGGGTTGGAAATACAGTATTAGTTTCAGTGCTGGCCAGGATGACCAGAAGCTTCCTTCCACCCCTTAGGCCCTTTAGCAGCCACATGAGCTGCAATGGCTAGTGCTATGCCAGTGGCTGTTACTCAGCTGGGGACATGGCAGACAGTTACAGAGAGACTGCTGCTTTCAAATAGCAGCAATCTTCTTTAGAGCATTCTGCCCAGGCACAGAATGTTGTACCTGTACTGGAAATGATTTCCTTTAAAGTGTTACTAAACCCAGGACCCTGCATTCACTATATCAGGTCTCACACAGTACACAGAACATGGAAATGCAATTATTTTAGTAAATATAAACTGCTAAATACCTTTTCTCATCAGCAGTTAGAGCAGTCTTGTGACTTCTATAAGTGTTCAGCCAAGCAGTAGCTAAAGCTTGTAGGAGGAGTTTTCTGTTTGCTCTAGGAGGATGCAGAACCCCTGACCTCTGTCTGATCAGTGCTGATTGGCCCTGTGCTGATCACATGCACTCTCCCAAGGAAAAAAAAAAACCTCTCTAGCAATACATACCAAGGGAAGGAACAGAGCAATCAGGATCAAACAGCCTTTTTTACACAATGCAGAGGATTAACCCCTTAGGTGCCACAGTGAGTATAACAAGCATGCTTTACTGAACTGCACAGACTGATTTTACTGTTGTCGGTTTAGAAACACTTTAATTTTTTTTGTTTGGATCGTAGGACATTTTAAAATGAAGAATTTTCAGTGAAATTAGTCTGACCTGAATGTCATTGCATATATTAGCAAAGTGGAGATCACAGAAGCTTCAGGTTAAAGGTATTGCTTGCAGGGCAGTATTTTTTTTTACATGAAGCTCTGCCCACATGATACCTGAATCAGCAAATGTAGGTACCTAAGTGCATAGGTCATTTAGCTTAAATTTAGGTTTCTGGATTCAGAGGTTCAGGGACTGCTGGGGCGCTCAGAAAATAAAGAAAATGGTAAATAAGAATATATATAAATGATCTCTACCAACACACCTGATGCATTTTTTCTGGATATATTCACAAGGCTTTTTACACTGATGGCATTATATTATACAACCTAATTACTTTTTCAAAATTCGTTCTGCAGCTTTCCAATAACCTCAGTCTCAGGCCATTAAATTGCAAAACGTATTCAGACAGCTTTAGAGTCAATTGAAAAGTTAATGAGTATATAATTTCATTACAATAACGTTAGCTCTACTGAAAATGTTCTGCATAAATTTTGTGCATGTAAGCAAAATTCTAAGTGTTTTTATTTTTAGAAGATATATATTTTTTGACTGTTTCAAAGAGATATATTACTGAAAAAAATTTAAATAAAGTTTGGACCTATGTTTCTTGCATTGCATGAATGTTGTACAAGTTTCTTTATGCAGACAGTAGTGCATGGGTGCTCATCGTATAGCCCTCCAGCTGTTGCGGAACTACAGTTCCTATCATGCCTCTGCCTTTGAGAGTCATGCTTGTAACTGTCAGCCTTGCAATGCCTCATGGGACTTGCAGTTCTTCAACAACTGGAAGGCCACAGGTTGAGCACTCATGCGGTAGCGTAACTATTGCATATAATTGACTGTAATGATTTTGTATTCCATATCTTATACTAGGAGAGCTCTTTACTGAGGTACTACTTCATCCAACTATTTAGAGAGAGGAAGCACAGAAAGGTTTAAAAAGTCCATCCTCACCCCATTATTGCTCTACCCTTCCTTACTGGAGCTTTAAACATTAATTGCCTACCTGCCCTGTGAACACTTTAGTGTAAGTGGGCTGTTGCTGAAGCTTGCTTTTTCTATTCTTTTCTCACCTCTACAGAGACGTGAGGGTCTACCATGTATTTTGGAAGCGTGACATTCTCTTGAATGTACTTAGGGGTCCAGTCCACTCTGCCCATGCTACGTAACCAGAGATCTGGCTTTTCCAACCCGGAATTGGCGCAGGTTGTGTAGAACAATCAGTCCATGACGGAATGGCATTCCCATGTTAGATGGTGAACTGAGTTCTGATTGGAATTGAACTCTAGCATCAAAATGTTTTTCCACAGTTGCAGCAAAAACACAAGTAAATGTATTGATGGCACATGTGCACCTGTGTGATGCATAGATGCCTACTAAAAGACATGTTTGTACAATGTGCAACAACACACGTGCTCTATATGCAGTGTGTTGAGGTGCCATTCATTGTGAATGGCATACCAATGCACTGTAAAGTGGAACACACAATGCAGCAGACCACAACATGCCTCAACACACATATCATGGTGCTAAAAAAGAGTGTGTTTCTTGATCCATTGTGGTGTGTTATCAGCCCATTCATAATAAATGGCCTTCTTTAAAAGAGAAGTATAGGAATTCATTTTTTTTAAATTAATACTTACGTAGGTGGATGCTGT